AGTCAACAGAGCCACGACTTTTTGATCTTAGGATAAGTTCTCATCACAGTCAGTCAATTCTTGAACAAGTCTAGTGAATTTATCAATATTTTCTTCTAGTGTGGAAGAAGAATTGAATCTGAAGTTGTAGAACTGTCTCAGGAGATAGCATTTGTTGGGCATGTTTTTAGCAAAATAGAGAGATTCTAACTTAGTCCATAAACCCTGTGTATTAGTGGTTTCCCCAACTTTCCTAATTACAGTATCAGATAAGTGAAGAAAAATGGAACACCAAGTAATCTCATCTAACTCTTGTCTCCTATAAACACTAAATTCAGGAGGCCAAGTCCCATCAATAGCAGCAACACACCTCTGTTGTAATAACAGAGCTCTCATTTTCTGTCGCCATAAACTAAAATCCCAGTCCCCTTCCAGATTTCTACTTCAAACTTATGTGCAGTAGTCATTATTACAGATAAACAAACAAGAATCAAATAATATGCGACACAGAGTATAAAAAGTATTGACAATATGAAAGATAAGAGAACTACAAATATTATTGAATTCTATCAAAGTAAACTACTGATCGACAGTGACAATTATATCAAGTAAACTGTCAATCTTGAAAATGTTTAAGGGGTGGTAACCCTTTGTTCCCCTACTCCCTCGGATTCCCAGATCCTCTTTGAGAACTTGGAAAAAGGAAAGCAGAAGATGATCACTTACTTTAATAACAAATTTCAAAAATGACACAAAGTACTCCAAGTAATAGGGGGTTTTAGATATTACCAAAAGCAGGTGTGAAAAACCTCAGATGGGATGTAGGAAGCGACGAGTCACACAGACTCAGTGTAATCGAACGAGTCAACTCAACTCACCACGACTCAATATGAGTCAAACGAGTCACCACGACTCAGTACCGAGTGAGATCATGAACACTACAAACCCAGTAGAACCACCAGATTAGAAGAGATAACCCAAAACAGAAAAGATTTTTCAAAAGAATCACACAGATCTGTTTAGAAAAACTTGAATCTTTTAGGAGATCTTACTCAAAAAAGGTAAATCACAAAAACTTAACCTCAAAAATTTTATTTACCACAAAGAATTTCAGAAATCGTGAGATCTGTACAACCGAACAATTTTTGAAAAATTAGGTTTTCTGAAAAACGAACACCAAACCAAATCTTGACTAATAGTGGCTCTGATACCACTTGTTGGTCCCAATGTTCACAAAGAACACAAAATAAAGCAGTAAATCGCAAGAAAATAAAGAATACAAGGATTTTTCGTCCAAAGGGCCCGGATGTTCAACCTTAGGCCTACTCACCCGTTGAGCATCCACACAAAGGGATAATGCTCTAGTTCCACTAAAATCACTAAGAAGAATTACAATGTATGAAGGATTTCATCACGATTTCTCTCGCCTTAAATCACTCAGAATATACACAATCTCACAGGTTATACATCAAGTGCAGTACCTTCCTTATCACTAAGTAATATACAGAGATTGAACAAGAAATCACTAAGATTTACAAACAATCGGCAGAAGAGAGATGAACCCTAACACACACAGAGAAAACCTCTCAAAAGGTACTAAACAGTTCCAATCCAAATAAAGCTTCGAGAATGACTTAAGGCGGGGAGATCAAGAGTCAAACATCAGACAGTGGAGATCTGGCCAAGTGTAGGGCCAGAACATAAGACCAAGAAAACTAATAGAGGCGTGTAGAGTGTAAACACGTTTTATCCACCAAGTAATAAACATTTGGGCTAAGGATCTGGTTCTAACACAAGCCCAATCACCAACAGACTGGACCAAGAATTTGAGGCAGCCCAAAACATATAACAATATTAATTGATTACGTGTACCTGATCGAATTCTCAAAATTAACTGATTTGCATCTCTCGAGTTCAAACTAATACTACCCAATTAAGCCATCCCACCATATACTCTATGTCAATCCGAATAAGTTTTAATCAAGAGCATTCAATCACCAAAAAATTCACTTAAACGATCATGACAACTATAAAACTAGTTTTTACTACGTGGTATTTACAAAGAATAATGTTACTTATATAAAAACAATTATATAATGATTTACATATAAATAAGGTGTCAAAAGAGAGTGGTGAATTTTTATTTTATTTTATTGAAGAAATTTTAACTTAATCATATATCACATCATGTGTATGTAAATTATTATGAAAATATATTATGCACATGTAACATAATCGATAAACAAATAACTCACATTTTGAAATAATTATCACTCATAAATCAATGATTTAGTGTCAATTAATTTCAAGTATTAAGAATAGAAGTAAAAATAATTCATAACACCAGTTGAAGATAAAAACTTATAATTAAAATTGATGGTCAAAACAAGGTTATAATCATTCTTCCTAACGAATTATTTAATTACATCATGGGAGAAAATTTAAAAAATTGAAGTACATCGTCGAATTTTAAGGAAAAATGAAAAAAAATAATTAATTAATTAATTAATTCTCTCCTTTTTGGCTCCATTTTCTTGTAATTGATATGATTTTGTGTTCTAAGAGGCTCATTTGGCTTTTATAATTTGTGCGTAATGAAGCCCGGCAAGCCTCTTCTAATTGTAGGATGAAAGTATGTATTTGTATATCCAATCGTGGTCAAATTGCATTCAAAGAAGAATTCTATTAACAATAGGAAAATAAGATATTTTATAGCCGAAAGTCCTTGAATTTTGCATGTTTAGATACCTATTTTCTTCTATTATTCAGCCCATGTCCTTCCTTAATTGCAACATAAGTCCTTCAGCTTGAAAATTTTAATTTGCTCCTCGTCATTCCAAAATATGATGCGATGCAAGTTTTGGTAGTTCGTAATTTAGTTTCCGAACTTTCTAGGTTGCCGATTTTACCTTTGAAACTCATGAATTTTCTACATTGCTTCATTACTAGTTTCAATTGATTGATTGCAACCTCGATAATCTTTAATTGTTCTGAATCAACTCCAATTAAAATCTAAATAACACTTTCACACCCGTTGTATCATAGTTGAGATTTTTTCTACAATTAGCATAATTTACACAAATTAAATAAATAATCACTCAATTTATATAAAATTGAATAGGAATAGAAGTCCGAATAAGTTATTAGCTGGTCTCCTATTTTAGCTCTGTCGATATTTTATTAATGAAAATTAAGGTTGTGGTTGAAGAAAGTAATTCGGGATTGGCCAAACAAGAGGTTTTCCCTTCTAAGTTTCACGTTTTATTTTATAATTTTATGATAAACACAATTATCATTAATCGAGGTCAAGGTTAATGAGTCGAAGTTGAATATGGAGTGGCATCGTGTAACATTAACTCTATATAAAATTATAAAAGATAATTTTTTATTTTTACCCCCGACTTCTACTTATTCAACAAATACCCCATATTTAATAGAGGAATTTTTCTTTTATTTTATTATTATTTAAGTTCCTCCCATATATATGGCTTACATACCTAACTCAATATTTGAATAATGACTTAAGCGAGAGTTGAAGATGTCAAGATAGAATGTGTCAGAATGTCAAAAAATGTATTGATGTAAGTAGTGGTTATATATCGAGATGTTTGAAATATATTGAGACAACAATCAAGGGAACAATAGATATGGACTCCTCGAGAAAATGACATTAGCCCATAACACATTGACAACGTGGTTAGTACCGTACAAGGATTGGACTATGCGATCACAATTTTAAGAAAAACATTAGAGGAATCGTGGGCACCTTCCGTTTTATATTTTGTAGGAGTCCAAGAATAAGAGAAGTGGTCTTGTAGACGAAGAAAACAATTTTCATCCAGAGCATGAGGGGAGATTCTAAGTGTCATTTTAATCTCTTTTGATTCGAACAATTTTTATATTTTCTTTTAACTATCTATACAAAATTTCTTTATTGAGATTTGTTAGTTCCTTGCTAAATTTGTAATAAGTATTTAAAATTTCACCTGTAATAAAAGAAAGAATTCCATAAAAATGATTTCTGCCTTGAGGTCGCAAATATACAATCAACTTCAACTGCCCATCCAAGTGGGACAATAATATGTTAAAATAAGTACAGATTTTTAATGATGAAATTTTCAAAATAACCAACAATGTTGAATTCTTTATTTAAAAGCATTTTTCTCCAAAGATTAAATTCCTAATTTAACTTTATTAATCTTCTTTTTACCACCGTTGTTCCTTGTCTACGCCCACCTCAATCTCCATTTTTCTCTTTTCTACACCACTCTCTCTTCTCAATCATAGTCCTATTCCTTCCTAGAAAAACGATCAAGATTAGGTGAGAACGTCACAAGTTAAGAATAAAAATGATATTTTTTATTTTATTTGTCGAACTTTCAACAAATTCCTCATTTTTAATTGTCCTTCACTGGTCTTTTGTTGTTTGATCTGTGTTAGAATTAATAATCAATCCCAATAGAAAGAATAATATCTCCGTACTTAGTTCAATCCCAAATCCTAATAAGAAAGCCAACATAATCCAAACAAGTAATCATTTAAAAACATAATCACACAATTTTTTATTACCATATAATAATAATAATAATAATTCTAATTTTAATTTTAATTTTAACTGTTTCCTCAGATACTGCTAACGAGAGTCGCCCTGTCGGCCATCAAAAATTTTGAAATTGTAAAAACATTCTTCTAGATTCCTGCAAGTCTCCCCCTTTCCCTTGCCCAATTACTTGCAAAATGAAGAAGACACGGTTGCCTCTTTTGGCACTCATCTTCTTCGTGTTCATGGTGTTTTCGATTCTGTACAATGAGTGTAACATTCAACAAATCAACACTGAACAACCCGAAAACGACGACAATAATCACCAATCTACAGTAAAAATTGAGTCTTTGCCCAAATCAACGCCTGTCCAGAACTTTACTCTTCCAAAGAAACCGCCAGGTAAAAAAAAAAAAAATTTAACTTTGATGCATGCTTAATCTTATTATGATATAATTCGAAAAATTGATTAGGTATTCTTACTGGGTTTTCGAGTTTGTGTTGTTTTATGTGTTTTTGGAATTTAAGGACATGGCTTTTTAAGTTTGTGTTGTTTTTGGTATTTTCTTGGGATTTAGAGAGATGGGTTTCTTGATTTGGTTTGGATTTTGATGTGCTGTGATTTTTTTTAGTATATGATGGTTTTTTTCCTTGTTGGGATGTAGTTGGTTTGGATAAATTTAGTAAATGCAGTTCCACTGTACCATACAGTGGGAGGAGAGCTGTCTGGGCAGTCGACACCGCAGAGTCTGGTGGTCGGGGAGGAGTGCCAAGGCGGGAAGAGTGTGACGTGTATTCGGGCAAATGGGTTTTCGATAACACTTCTTATCCACTGTATAGTGAGTCTAGTTGTCCATACATGTCTGATCAATTGGCTTGTCACAAGCATGGAAGGCCTGATTTAGGATACCAGTTTTGGAGATGGCAACCCCACAACTGCAATTTAAAGAGGTAGTTCTTTTTTCCCTCTCCGTTGGATTATATATATCTGCTTATATTGTGTGTTTGAGTTCCAAATGAGCATCTATACGTAATGCGTCATGGATTCAACCTAGCTCATGACTCTGAGAACAGTGATGAACAGAAAAGAAATTATAAAATTTACAAATACCACGCATATATATAATAGTTCAGCTATATCACTCGTCTTTGGAGATTTTTTGCTAAAATGGAGGAGTTTACAAGCTTTCCTCACACTTTTCTGTCTTATATTACTTGCCCACCAAAACGGTTTCCTCAGATTCTTTATATCACATAGGAAACTAGGGCTAATATCTGTAACTATTCAAGCATAGTTAAATTTTGACAGTAAGCTTTGGTAGATGGAAGATTAGTTTTGTGACTGCATTTTGATTTTGTTGCTTCTTTGACTCGTTACTGCTGAGATGTAGGTGGAATTCTACAGAAATGTGGGAGAAGTTGAGAGGAAAGAGATTAATGTTTGTCGGGGATTCACTGAACCGAGGGCAATGGATATCGATGTTGTGTATGTTGCAGTCTGCAATTCCAGCAGATAAGCAATCCATCACGCCAAATGCGGAACTTACAATTTTAACGGCAGAGGTAAACGGCATTTTCACATTTTTACTAAGAATATTGTTGGGTGTTACTAGGAAATCTCTGCCTTTGTAAGACATTTAACACTTATCAAAATAGTTCTGAATTGCAATGTGATTGTGTCTTGTACAGAATTATAATGCAACTTTTGAGTTTCTTTGGGCACCTCTTCTTGTTGAATCTAATTCTGACAACGTAGTTGATCACCGGGTGGATGAACGAATACTACGTATAAGTGTTAAATGATACCAATTTTTAGAAGCTTGTGTGCGGAGTGTAAAAATTTAAATTATTCATGACAATGGATTCCAACTGGTATACAAGTATTAAATAAATAAAAGATCTTTGCAAAACTAAACCTTGTTACTGTAGATATGAGTTGGGATTGCTTCCTTACACTTCTGCCCTGTATAATCTGTCTGCCTCACTATGGTAGATTATTTGGATTTGTTTCCCTTGTGGCCTCCTGCCTAATGGTACTCCGTTATCCATAATCAGTATAGATCCATACATAAAGATTGTATAAAATCTCTGCCTTTGTAAGACATTTAACACTCGTCAAAATAGTTCTGAATTGCAATGCAATTGTGTCTTGTACAGAATTATAATGCGACTGTTGAGTTTCTTTGGGCACCTCTTCTTGTTGAATCTAATTCTGACGATGTAGTTGATCACCGGCTGGATGAACGAATACTACGTCCTGATGCAATTCGTAGGCACTCATCACAATGGGAGCATGCTGATATACTTGTCTTCAATTCATATCTGTGGTGGAGACAGGACTCTGTTAAGCTATCGTAAGTACTAATTAAATAGCGAGCACCTCAAATAACGGATGGATAAGAGCAGGTTTGGCTAAGCTTAAAATATTTACTCAAATGACTTTACATTTTTCTAAGCTTATCAAAACTTGCTCTAAGACGATACTATCCACAGTAGCTTATGTATTGATGTTCGTACTTTTTAGATGGAGCACTGAAGAAAATGGTGTTTGTGAAGAAATCGATGGGATGAAAGGCATGGAGTTGGCCATGGAAGCCTGGGCAGATTGGGTGGCTACTCATGTTGATTCCCAAAAGAAGCGGGTTTTTTTCGTTACCATGTCACCTACACATCTGGCGTAAGTGACATTATAAGTCTTTTCAATTCAAATGCACTTGGAGTGAAATTGGATTTGATATTTGTCTCGGGTTTTTCTAGTTTTTTCTCGAGTATTTTAACACCAGTGTTTGATAGGTTTTGTTTCTGGGTCTTCTTTTGCAGTTAAAATTGTTAATTTGTTTTATCTGTACTTTTTCAATGATCAGAAAGGAAGATTGGGAGCCTGGAAGTGAAGGAAATTGTTATAACGAGAAACTGCCTATTAAGGACGAGAAGTACTGGGGAACTGGTTCCGACTTGCCCACAATGCGGATGGTAGATAAGGTTTTGAACCAGTTGGGTTCAAAGGTTACTGTCCTAAACATCACTCAGCTTTCAGAGTATAGAAAAGACGGCCACCCCACCATTTACCGTAAATTTTGGGAACCATTGAGCACCGAGAAAATGGCGGACCCTGCTAGTTATTCTGATTGTCTACACTGGTGCTTGCCTGGGGTGCCCGATGTATGGAATGAGTTACTTTTCCATTTTTTGTAAAGGTGCATTTTTCAAGTGTTCTTGGTCATCTCGAGCAACTCGTGAGGTATGTCTTCGTTTTGAACACGGGTGCACTATGTTGTATTTATACATGTATCCTATTAATACAAGTCGATTTTAAACGTGATTTTATTTAGTGCATGTTTGGTAAAGCTTAATTTTTTTAAGCTAGTAAATGTACTTTTTATTAACACATTTTATATATTTTACAATTTACTGTTAATTTGTTATCAGATATATTTCGTAGGACTTACAACTTATTGATTGTGGAAGTGATTTTTTGAAAAACTCGTGGCTAAAAAGTCATAGGAAATCGGTTTTTTTTTTTTTAGAATGTGTGGTTGAAAATGAATATTAAGAGAAATAATTTTTAAAAAAATCACTTTTTGTAAGTAGTAGGAAAAAAAATACTTTTCATAATGAAGAATAAAACAAATTGAGAAAAATCAAGGAAATTGAGAACCCTTGAAATAATTTTGGTATTTTAAGAATCGGTAACCTCCCAAATAAAACTCAAGTAGCACTGTGCATAATTCATTTGCTTTAAGCTAGGTGTATACCTTGTTTTGACACCTACCTGTGTCAAAATTTTTACCAGTATTTGGAAAAAGTGTTGTTAAAATCAATATATAGAATTCAGTCCCCACACATGAATATCAAACTAAGTGTTAAGATAGATCCACATGTAGCATAATTGAATTCATTTACTGCTTGTACAAGATAAAACTATGCACGCTAGCTAGGAGTGGTAACATACAACATTCCGTCATGTCCGAATGGAATGGGGAATCTTGTCCTCTTAGGGAACAAGGACGGGGAAGGGGACGGAAAACATGATTTCCACCTCGAATCTTAATTTTATTTTTATATCTTAAAATTTATACAATTTTTTAAAATAAAAAAGTAAATGATGAGATATATCAATAATCAAAATAAGTTGGCCCCCGCGGCACATCCAAGTTGGCAAATGATGGACACTGCTGGACTTGCAACCTCAGGGTGGGGAGTTCGATTCCTGAATGAAGTAGCTGAGTGTTGTAATACTCAATTTAGGTGGAGNTGAAAATTGAATAAATGATTTAACACTCATTGTCACGTATATATTTCCTGATATTAATTTTGAATTAATTAACATTCACACATAGCATTTCATAATAACATGTAATGTTGACTAGTTCAAATAAAAATCAAATGTTTAGTGGATCGTGATAAAAGTTGATAGAATGTGCGCTGAAAAGTTGTGATAACATGAAATGTGTTGTTAAAATTAATTGTTAATTTTGACTTTAAAAAATTATTTTAGTTGAATCATCGTGGACTTTTTTTTTTCTCCTTCAATCAAGAAATCTTTTTTAAATTATTGTTTACAAATTATGCTTCAAGGAAGATTACGATGTGACATGCCTTCAACTTTTGATTAATGACGATATTTTCTAAACAAGTTATCTTTTTGCATGGTTAAATGTGAAATCAAAGATACAAGCGTCTCTAATAATATTTCAAATAACTTCTCAATTTGGAGTCTTGTATCAAAAATGATAAGTTGGAACAATTGTAGCCGCTAATACAATTATTGGAACGACATTTGTTTCGTAGAAATCAGTAGGCTGAGACACCAACGCAAAACTTTTCGTCGAGCCATGTTATTTGTTCCTAAGATGCTGATCTTGTACGATATAGGACTTTAAGTTGTGATGGTCACCAATAAAATTATTAGAAAGATACTTGTTTCTTCAAATTCAGTAGGTTTCGAACACCAACGCAAAACTTTTCTTCACGCAATACTATTTTTAATGAGGTGCTCGTCCTTGCTTTCTCTCAAGGGTTCCATCTTGTAAAAAAAAAAAAAAAAAGATTCAATGAGTTCCTTTTTTGCTCTTCACCGTTTTCAATCTTCCTGACTGCGAAGTGGGGATGACTCCGGATTGGATTATAAAATCAAAGATGATAAAACGAGTCATTATATAAAAGCCCAACTGGATACAGTTCCCACATCGACAGAATAAGAACAAACTCTTCAGTTTTTATATGCACGCCTATACAGCAGAGGATACGATCTTACTTGAACAGGATCTGTTCTATAGATTGTACCTCTGTATCCTTGATTCCTAAGGAGACAGGTAACTAAGTCTGGTGGATGAAAAATGACTGCTAGATCGGAGCGTGATTAATAGCTGTCAATTAGTAGTGGTTGATGTGCAATGGAGGATCGTTCTCAGTTGGCTTTGCTCGACTGGGGTGGTCTAGCAGTGGCCTGACAGACTCTGTTAACCCCTTTTGCTCCGATCAATTTAACTGTTTCATTGCACCTTCCATTGCACGAAGGTGCGGTTGGCGGTAACAACAGTAACGAACGATAATGGACTCACCTTCCATTGCACGAAGGTGCGGTTGGCGGTAACGAACGATAATGGACTCGAGTACGAACGATAATGGACTCAAGAGTTTCACTCGATCGATTAATCATTTTTATTTTTGGCAGAATATTATTCGATTTACCTCCTGGAAATATTGCATTATTCTTCGTTGTCGTATGGTTTGCATCAGATATATCTCATAATGAACCTCCAAGAAAAGAAACAGAGATGCAGAAGATTCTTGACTGTTTGAAATTTCTCTTCACTGAACCCAGTCCCAAGAGAAGAAATGTTTGAGAAGATGAGATGCATATTAAAGTTAGATTTAGGGTTGTGGCATAGGAGAATGCTTTTGCATTTAAATGAACCTATCATTTAATGACATCTAATTTTCATCAGCAGTACTAAATAACATTAATCAAATACACCTTATTGTATTCTAAGTTGTTAAACCAAATATTTGGTATTGGTTCACTTCTAATTAAAAGGTTGCCACATCGGATATTTAAAAACTTCAAGCCTGTCTAGTCATTTTAAAGCCAAATTCTTTTTCAAAGTTGGATAAGGATTTCGATAAGCACCATAAAAAAACTTCCAAGTTTTGAGTGAAGATAAGTAAGTTATTGACTTAAATGTTTGGCCTCAAATCTAATCAACATTGCGTACTAATAAATATTTTATTTGTAGCTCGGTGATATAATATACATGGAGGAAGGTTCCTTTGGGGTCAGAAGTATAAAGGGTGCAGGGACCCTGGTCAACTTGGGCATATCCCGCAGTTAACATCCACCCATCACTGAGGGGCCGGGGATTGGTGGT